CCTTCAAAATAGCATAGAAAATGCGAACAATCCCACTGCTAAATCGCTTCTTGGTTCCACAGTTGTAGCATTTCATCAGCTTCAAATTATAATAATTGTTTTACTGAAAGTCAGCATAATTATAGCAGGGTGATGGTACTGATGATTCTTTGATACTATGTCCTGTAAAATGTGTGGAATTGCTTAAGGGCAAACAGTATTTGCACAGAAAATTGAGGTTTTTACTTTTAAATGGTATGCAATTAAATGTGCATACTTTAAAGTTGTTTTAGGGCCTCCTCTACGGCATGGCAATAATGTGCTGGTCATGAGACACCAGGTTGGGGGCAGTAGGTGGTGTGGTGGTGAAGGTGCTGGACTCCCACATGGATAACAACGGTTTGAGTCCTGGATCTGGCAGCTTGAAAATCACACTAGGCATGTGTGTATGCATGCCCAAAGTCCCAGGAAGAGCTGGAGAAGAAGGGATTGCAGTATGGTCATCCCTCCACCATTCTATGATTTCTCACTTTGCCTCTCTCTCTTTCTGTCTCTCCAGTGAACACACTTGCCCTATGGGGGGGAAGGGGAAGGAAAGAAAGAAAAAGAAAAGAAAAGCCCAATCTGTATGTGGGGACCACAGTGTTATATTCCAGCCCAGTCAGTCTAAAGCATGCTGGGCACATGCACAAGTGTCAGAGGTCTGACTGGGGCTGGAAGACAGGGATTGCAGCATAACCAGATCCCCTGGAAGGTGCTCTCCTCTCTCTCATTCTCTTGAGTATGTGCGGGTGGTCTGTCATGAACTTAAAAAAAATTTGTAAGTTATTTTACCTACTATAACAAAATGTCTAAGAAAAACTTTTATACATTCAAACTTAAACATAGCCCACAGAGATCTCATGCAATCACTACAGCGTGGGCTGATTCAGTATGAAACTAAGCTTTAAGGAATCTGCTAGTATCAGAGTTCCCCATTTGATAATAAAAAGTATGAATCGATCTTCCTAGTTTTAGCATAAAAAAATGTGACATAACAAATTTCAGCTTGATAGAATCTGAAATAGCCAATATATTAAACCCCAAAGTGAAATTTAAATTGGCAATCATGTCAAATTTTAGTCCCTGAATGGATATTAATTTAAAAACTAATCATTTTCCAACAGGTTGAAGCTTCAAACTGCTAGTTTTGGAATAAAAACTGTTAGATTCATTATTATAGCAATACTGAACTTTTTTTTTTTGTTTAGAAAATTAGATCTCTGATGTTCAGTGTATCTGGCTCTTCCTGACATCTTTTTGCTCAGGAATTTAATTACTTAGAACCACTTTTTTTTCTAATTTTGGGAAATTAGAATTCCGATTTTATTGATGAGAAGCTGATAGTAAGGGAACTATCTGAGGTAAGGTGTAAGGTTAGATCTGTTAATTAATTTCATGTCACCAGGCAGACCTTTAAGTTAAATGCTGATTTCTGAAGCATTCAATAAAAGGATAGGTTTTATTTTTATATACACAGAAACACACACCAGGAAAATTCATGGATTTGTAGCAATACTGGAGAATGGCTGAAATCACAAACACACAGTAAGTGCAGACTTGCAATTTGAAAGTTGACTAAGCCAGGAAATTAATGTGTTCTATCCTATGCCTAGCATGAAACAAGTCCTAATTCCAGAATCCAACTGAGTAGGGATGCACTACATAATAATGCAACTGTAAGTTACATTTTCTAGTATTTTCCTGCAATTATTCTGTGCAGTTATACAATGAAAGAGTCACAAGCTGCGTTTGTCTATATTTTGATACAAAATATTTTTGTATAACTACTGAACAGCATAGGAAGGCAGAAGAAAGCACAAACCTAATCATTGGTCCCTTACTAACTACATAACCCTTTGTGACCCATATTTTAATTTTGCTTTCCTCCACACTCTACTTCCTTTGTTATTGTTGTTGTTGTTGTTGTTGTTGTTCTTAATTTTGCCAGAGGGCATGTGTGCTTGCTGGAGAGAGACAGAAAGATCCAGGACAAGAGAGGCAGTAAGAAAGGAAGGGGGAGAGAAAGAGACCAAGAAAAGCACAGTTCTATGGGCAACAGTCAACCCATAATCTCTTCCCCTCCTTTTCTCCCTCCTTTTGAGATTTTGGGTACTGACACATATGTGCTTAGCATGTTTTTCAAGCCACCAGGTCCAGTACTTTACCCATATGGCCAACCATGTAGAATCCAGGTACCTTAACCACTATGCCACACACTGTCCTTCACTATTTTTTTGGTTTTAATGTAGAATTCAAGGAAGGCTCATTTTGTTCAACTACTCCAGTCCTCTCCTTACATAAATGGGGAAACTTAGTTAAGTAATTTTATTTATTTATTTATTTATTGGAGAGGTTTTCGCTATAAGGTGTGTGTACTTACCAGAAAGAGAGAGACAGAAAGCAAGAAATCACCCCCCGGGGGAATGGCCACACCACAATCCCTTCTCCTCCATTCTCCTCTCGGGATCTTGGGCACGCATGCACATGCGCCCAGCATGAGTTTAAACCGCCGAGTCCAAAACTCTAACTGCAGTCAACTACATGAGAGTCCAGCGACATAGCCATTATGCCAACTGCGGGTCCCAAGTGAATTTTTTTAAGACATATTTCTCAACTCCTAATCTCTTGTTCTTCCTGTTGCTTAGGACAACTTTTGAATCATGCATACATTCTTCTTAAAAATCTATACTGTGGAATCTTATGAATTTCATAATACCTTAAATGCATTCAGACTGATATTTATTTTGAAGAGCCTCATGTAGATCTCCAATGGAAGGTAAAGAATTACTCTCATTTCCATTTGAATGAACCCAGGCTCTCATAATGATAGGTACCCCTAACACATTCAGTAAATGCCAGATAAATAAATAACTGATCTGAATGGCTTTTCTCAAGTCAGACTACGTGGTTCTATAGTCTTAATATAAAATGGAGAAGAGTTTAAAAACATGCAAAATAATCTAAGTGTACAAATTGGAAAGGACAAGTTTTCTTGATAGTCAAACAGTTATGAAATAAAGCAGTCTCATTAAATCATAAGTACTTTAACCTTTTCTTGAAAGATGGGGAAGATTTAAAGATTTATAAAGAAATTTTTACCTAAACTAGAAAATGACTCATATTTGACATGTATTGAAATGATAATGCTGATTTCAATAGGCTCTCTAAGAGCATTTTACTCCCTGGAGAGTAATTCAGTCATGGTTACCTCTTTGCATTTAGATTTTAAACTTTCTTTGTAAAGCTTTTAATGTACTACTGCCTGACACAGTTTCACAGATAAGGCAAAATAAAGACAAGTCAAAAGCACTTTTTTTTTTTTTTTATCATTGTTGATACAAAAACTGCAACACACATATCTATTTGGCATCTTCCACAGATTACCTTTCTTTTGCAATTTCCATTTCCACATTTTTAATATTAAAACCCAATTCTGTTGCACTGATCAGTGGGTGGAAAGGACAACCACAAGATGTAGGACAAATGGGTTCCCCCATCTGTTAACTACTGTAACATGGGAGCTAAGCACTGACAGCCAGAAACCAGCATGCCACACAGACAGGATTTCAGACACAACCTACCCCTTTCTAAGTCCGTTCAATCCAAGTGGTATCAAAACATTACTCCTGGCCAACTACATTTATTAAACTTGCATCTGAACTAAAAACTCTGAATCAAGGCAACCAGCGGGTGGCATGGTGGTTAAGACACTGGACACTCACAAATGGCCAACCACAGTTCAAGTCCCAGACCTGGTGGCATGCTTTCTCACCTCCTCTCTCTCTCTCTCTCTCTCTCTCTCTGTGTGTGTGTGTGTGTGTGTGTATGTGTGTGTGTGGTCAAATTAAAAATAAATGAATGAATAAATAAAGTTAAATAAATAATTATTTAAAAAAAGAAAACTCTGGGGCAGTATGACGTAACATGCAGATTGACTATTACTCTGTCAATACCTGCATGAAATCGATCACGTTCATCTCTTTTTTGCATTTATACTTAAAACTGTCTTCCTGTGCTTTAGTGCACTGCTATACGAACACATGACAGAATTTCATAGTTACAATTAAGCAAAACAAGGATAGGTACGATGCATATTTAAATTGTCAAGCATGATATTTATGCAGAAATAATAATTTAAAGCAAAATAATAATGTTCAAGATGCTCAAAGGAAATCCATTCGTGGCCTGCCTCAGGGTAATACAAAAGTTAGAAATCAAAGATAATTTTCATAAAATGAAATGTCCTCTAGTGCAAAAGGGGTTCTCGTGGGCTATGAAGCGGATGTTTGCATGAGAGCAGCCTGGGACCCACGGTGCTCAGCACCTCTGGCTTACACGGCAATGGCTTTTTGGCTATATGGGCCAGTCGAGTGACCTGAGAAATAAAAGGAAAAACTGTGCCTCCATTCTGGAGACTGTAAATACCAGACCTCTCACAGTTATCTCACCCTTTAGCAGCTTCTAAGGCTCATACAAACTGTGGTTGACAACTAAAATAATAACATAACACCTTTTGAGTGCCTCAAGTATAAAGTTCATTAGTTCTAAGGTCACCATTTTAATGCACCAGACAGAATTTATTCACATCATCAGATACTCTCTGAGAAAGACAGGTGTAAAAATCAGGCAGCGGTTTTAATACTGCTGTGCCTAGTAAAATTAGTACCACACACCCACTAAATATTTTTAAACAAAATATACTAACCAAATAAAACAGTTTTTCTGAGAGAATTATTGCTATAAATAGCATTACACTTAAGCTTCTGTGGGAGTTTTATGGCGATTTTGAGAGGGAAAATGCTAGTATATCAACAGATACAATATAAGGTTATTCCATTTTTTTTTCTTTACGGGTGATCTATACATACCTGAACTCTAAAAGACTGCTTCAGATTTTGTGGGTAGATGCTATTAAAGGAAAGAAAGGAAGACAGATCCTTGTGTTTAACCAAATGTTAAATATTTTTTATTTTACTCACCTGCACACTAAGATGAATCCATTTCTTCACAAGAATTCTCCCCAGTGTCATTACTTTTATTGGAGGCTGCAAACCATTTACTGTGCGATAATAAAACATGGTCTCTTTCTCAGATATTGTAAGTTTGAACACAATCTGCCCATCCACCGTTTTTTCTATCACACACCTTAGGAAGCAACCAGAAAAGGGAGATAAGGTCAGCATCCAACCAAGAAGACATGTAAAAGCATCGTGCAGTGACAATGGCATTAAAAGGACCTCTAATTCCAGTCAAACCGGTACACGATGAGTAAGCACTGGAATGTCATTATATTCAGAGCAAGTTTTATTCCGATGAAGAAGCCTTTCATTTCAATAAAGAGAATTTTTATTTATACTATGTTCCCCAGAACCTCAACACCCATCATTAGAGATTCATGATGGAGACTAAAGTGGTGGAACATTCTGCAAAACTAACATTTAGACTATTGGCTCATTAGTCTCTCTGCTATTACCTTTATAGCAAGTGGTACAACACACTACATCCCACTTGGTATTAAGTCACCAGTGCAAATCTCTCTTTTTCTTTCTTTCATTTTTTTTTAATGTAAAGAGAATTTAGAGCCCATGGAAGGCTCAAAAATTGTTAGCCCTCAAGTCAGGATTGCTCTATTTCATTCCCATGAGAAATGGAGTATGGACAGCAGTAGTCTCCTCTCACTTCATCATCAACCTGCAGGAGCCAAATCTAGGGGTCTATAAGATGACAGGCTACCTCTCTATGACCACAGAGCCCAACTGAGGCACTGAGGTAAAGAGTTATCAATGATCTCAGGTGAAAGAGCATTCAAGTCCTCTAAAAGCACAGTTATAAAAGAATTTTTAGAGCTCCCTAGGTCTTGTGTCAGGCATTTATCCAATGATTACTTTTTAAAATACCTATTGTCTCTATCACAATGGCACATCTTTCAGACCCTGGGTCCCATTGATCATCTGGTCACCTCTTTCTCCACTCAAGCATCTCTGTAATATACCTGATCCCGAACATTGCCCCATGCTCAAGGTGGGCTAAAGAGACTCCCTTTGTGCTTACTTAACACACTGCACTTCATAGGTACCACCACCAATTTATTGTCTTTCTCTATTGGATCATTAGTATTCCAATAACAGAAGCATATCTGTTATACAATAGACCCTCAAAAAATGGTAAGTTAGTGAGCAAATTCAGAAGGATTCAACAAAGAGGCTAGGTTAAAATGGGGCCAGTGGAGAAGTACTGCTAAGTGTTTTCATTTTTCTTTAAAGAGGCCATCGGGTGGCATAGTGGTTAAGGCACTGGACTCCTATGTGGTTGATGTGGATCATATCCCAGACTTGAATTTGGTGGCCTGAAACTCAGGCTGGGCATGTGTGCTCCCAAGATCCCAAGACGAGAATGGAGGAGAAGGGACTGCGGTGTGACCCTCCCGCCTGGGGAGAGATTTCTCACTTTCTGTCTCTCTGGCAAGCATGTGCACCCTATAGCAAAAAATCTATCCAAATTTTTTTTTTTCTTTAAAGAACGATTTTCACAAATCATTCTTTTCATTTGCATTTACTTTTTCCCATGAGCTAGGGGGTAAAAGTAAGATTGCAGAGGCCAGCCACGGCAGAGCAATGCTAATGCAACACTGCACAACACTGAGGCCACAAGGGAGGTCCTGGGTTTGCACCCTGAGGTCTCCCTGATCCTGCCAGGTGGCCCTGTTTGATTGAGGGTGTGGAGAAAATTGTGGCATGAGGACCTTGTCGGGAGTGCTTTTCTCTCTATTTTCTTCTCTTATGAAAGAATAAACAAACTTTAAACGAAAAAGAGAGTCAAACTGGAAAACATTTTCTCTCTTTTTCTGTTCCTATTTTACTATATTTTATACAAATACCTAATAAGGTCATGACAACAATTTTTCTTTCAATTTAGGCAAATAAATTTAGTTGACTTAGAGGCTGGCCAATAAAGTAGAAATAAAGGTTTTATATACATGTTACCACAGATTCTTTTCTTGTATAACATTTCAGAAGTTGGATATTTCTAATTCACTGAAACAAAACAGTTTCCCTTTATCCCCTGCTTCAGGTCTTAAACAATCTAAGAGTTTGACTCTGTTCATTTTTCTTGAGTTTAAATCTACAAGTGAGAATTCGACCATTACTCAAGAACGTATTTACCAAATGCAGACTTATTTCCCCAAGCTTACTGAAAATGCATTTCTTAATATGTTATTGATTATCTTCCTTGCTATTTTGTTTGCTTGTAAACATACTAGCTTTGGTAGATAATAAATGTGAGAGGAAGGCAGGTAGCAAAATATTTAGGAACTGGATTTATTCTGCTCCTGAATAAACAATAATTGGATAATCCACGTTTTGTTTGTTTTACTTATCTAGTGCAAACACCCCGAAATTCCCCCAATTCCCACAGGTATTTTAGTTTTGAGAATGGAAACGACCTTGGTACAAAGAATTCTCAAAACCATAAACCATGTGCACCACCTCTATAAATACTCCTCTGTCTTATTTATGCAAAGTGATGCCAATAGAAGATGAATTTGGTACAGATATGTTCCTGTAAGCTTGGAAAAATATTTTACCCTAGCCCTATCTGTCAAGTCAATGTGTTTAAGACTCTTTGGATACTAGTTACATCAACTAGATTTACCAGAATTTCAAGCAATAAGAAAGCAAGATTTTCTTTTAGGGAAAATATAAAAATAAGAAAAATGGTTTATGGGGGGGGGTTATTCCAAAATTAAAGCAAAATGAAAATATGCCAATTTTTACTTGGCAAATTGAAACTAAACACTAAAGATATTTATATCATATTTGCTTATGAGACAGAAAGACTTTTCTGGCTTATTTCACAAGTTTTTAGATATTCAGCCAACATGATCACACAAAGAAATTGTCACAAGAGAAGGGTGAAAAACCGTATGGGAAGATAAGCAAAAAAATACCTTAAAGCTGTCCTACTTATTAAAATTCATTTATTTTAATTTGACCAGAGAAAGACACAGAAAGAGGAAGAAAGTGAGAAAGCAAGCCACCAGGTCCGAGACTCAAACCATGGTCAGCCATGTGGGAGTGTCCAGTGCCTTAACCACCACACCACCTGCTAGTCATCCAGATTAGCTTTAAATATGTAAGGAAAACACATTAGATATCAGCTGGAGAAAAAGATTACAGAAGGAAAAACAGGTGATTAAATAAACAACAAATGATGGTAAGGAAGCCCCACTCGTTGAAGTATTTATATTGGGATCAACAGTACAAAAGCTTTAAAGGATCTCTCACGCTTATGCATATACTTTTTAACTAACTGGAAGATGAAAACACTACAAGATACCAGGCCAAAAACAATACGTTTTAGAGACAGAATGTCACTATTCACATATCCAACTCACATTACTGAATATCTTCCATGAGTCAAACGAACATCTCTTCCTGGTGAAGTATAAATGAAACACGGTCCTAAGCCCCCAGAGAGTTATCTGTCTAATGAAAATGTTATACACTAGTAAGAACAACTTGTTTATATAGACCTAGACCATGATTTTGAAAATAATCATTTATCTATACTACTAGTCCCAATGTGTTAAAAGTAAAACTGAACCTGGTTTTACCCTCAGAAGGTTCAGACCAAAGGTTTAGCTAATCTACTTATAAATAGTTCAACTATAGACATCTCTGCCTGCAATGATGCTATTTTTTAAATTAATCTATTTTCTAATTTATTTCTTTTGAGAAGAGGGGAGCCCTCTTCATTCTGTGATCCACTCCCAGCCAGCTCCAGGTCACAGAAATACATGTGCACACCCGTCCCCACACATGGGTCCAGTGGTACAAAGAATTGTATTACCATTGTGCCACTGCAACTGGACTAATGATTCCATTTTAACCCAGTTTTTTCAGTCTGTTAATACTTCATCTACAGAAAAAGAAGAAAAGTTAAATTTAGGAAAAAATATTTGTATTTTAAACTTCAGTAGAAAAGACTAACGTTAAGAGTTGGTCCTCAATTGTTTGTCCAAAGTAGCCTCATTTCTAGTTTGGAATTCCAGTTCCAAGAATCTTCACTACTACTGATTTTTCAGGGTCTGTGAAATCTTACACCCATGTTACTACTTACATTACACCTTCTTGCTCAGGTTTCAACCACAAAGCTAAAGTAAAGGATGTCTCTAGCCTTAGCAAAGGAGGAGAAGAAAAGCAATTCTTGTGATTTCCAAAAATAAAACTTGTCGAGTTGCTATGGGAGTTCGGATGCAGATCACTCTTGTCTGCTATGATGCAGCTCCTGAGGCCTGCTGAGAAAAGGCCAGTGTAGGTAGAGGGTGACGATCCATACGGGCAATCCTGAACACAAAACCGCTGGGTACAGAACTGAATGCTTTCAGCAGTTCCAGCGCTATGACAAAAAGTGCTTCGTAGTGGGAGTCCACACACTGCTTGGGTTGGCACAATGGAAACATTCTTGAAAGCCCCCACATTCTCCAGCCTTGGGAAAAGACCCTGTGAGTCAACCAATGATAGCAAAGCAAAATAGGCAAAGATCAATGTTTCAATAACCTGAAACAAGCTGAGGCCCAGTGATCGAGCCAGGCAGTTCATGTTTACAAAAAAACATTCTCTTCCTGATAAAGCATTCCTAAATAAATAATCCGGACCACGCCACTAGCTAGCAATACTATAAAACAGGGCACTTTAAGTAACATGGAGAGACTCCTCTTCCAGGAAACAGCAGACACGCTTTCGCAATGACGTAATATCAAAGATGTCCTTAGCAATGGCGAAGACATGAGCAGCGGCAAGTATCTGGGAAGTGAAAACACAGCGTCAAGACAAAGTGGCTGCATCTTTCAAACTCAAGTTCATCCTAGGTAGGAGGACTTTGAACCCCAAACAGAAACACGACTGAACATCTCAAAAACAAACAAACAAAAAAACACCATTTTGATATTTGATATACCATGTTTAGAGTGAAATACATACTTTTTTTTTTTGCAAATTATTTTATTGGGCAATTCAAGCACTTTAAAAGTCCACAGAACAAACAGAAAGAGATGTGTATGTATAAATACTAACAATATACTTCACCATATAGTTATTTTAGGTTGTTACGCCACCCCTGAGAACTGGCACTATCTACTCTACTAACAAGGTGTAGTATAGATTTTCTTTACACACACACCGTATGTTGCAACCCAGAGCTAACTTGCAGATGCCCGAAATAAAGCTGGCAAAGCACTTTGGGCCTCTCCCCTTATCCCAGCATGGGAGGCAACTTTAAGCTCCCAGTAAAGCTGATTAGAAACCCAACACCATCTGTCTGTCCTATGCCTTAATATTTAGCAAAATGTTTGTGTTAGTGTTTCCTCATATGACTACCTATTTGTAGGTTAAATGTGGATCTCTAATACTGTGTAAGTAATTGTATTGATAAATAAGCTGAGTTACCATTTCTTTATTGCATTTCAACCAGTCCCCACAGTGTGACAAATTGCTCTTCAACAGGACCGTGGTCCCTCGTTGCCTGGCAACGCTGTTGTAACCCCCGGTTACTCTTAGCAAACAGGTCACAGTGGGTGCTCAGGTAAAGTAGTCTGAACAGCAAACACTTGGTTACCTGAAACTCAACAGCAGAGTCTGCTTGGTGGCCCGCCTGGAACTGAGCTCCCCAAGCTTTCAGCGGGTACCTCAAGCGGTGGGAGGGACCTGGATGGGGTCATGCATGCGTAATTTTAAAGTAGCAGTACACCTTATCCTATAATCCCCCTAGCCCGCCTCCACTTCCTGCTTTCAGTCACCTCAATCCACTTAATTGTTCAATCAAAATGATCTGCCACCGTTAAAGAACAACACAATAAGTCATTTCTGAACCTTTTTTCTTTTTTTTTTTGAGATACAAAATGAGATCACCTTAATATGCCCATGCCTAAAAGTTTGGCCCATAGTTGTGTTTCCACTGACCATTCTATTGTTGTATGTTTCATCTCGGAAATTCCCCCTCCTAAATACACATGCGTCTTTCGTTTATGAGGAACAACTGATGTTATCTCTAAATACTGGGTTTGGAAAATTTGCAGTTTTAATTCAACTTCAGAAGCAATGGGGTGGCTGCTATTTTATCTTCCTGATTGGATATGGGTATGTGAGTTTACAGGAAATTTTGTACATCCACTCATTCTAGAGAGAAATATTCTAAATCGACTGATACTTTTAGCCTTCCGTTTGTATCTTAAAAATAGAAAGGCTGTTTGGGAAATAACTAGTCAATTGTGGTTTTGTTCTCTATGAGATATCACATCTGTAGAAACACTGAGAAATGAGAAAACTGCTTTTTATGGTATTTCTTGTTAGTAAGGCAAATACAAACAAAAATCGTCTTCTCAGATATACTTCAGTTTCTCTCCCACGAGAGAACTGGAAACCACAACCCTTTTATAAACCAACTTTATCTGTTAGAATGAGGTATTTCCAAAGGAAAACTTTTTTTCATCCTGTGTTAAAATATTCTATTTATAGGGCCAGCAGGTGGTGTGGTGGTTAAAGGCACTGAACTCCCACATGGTTAGCCAGTTTGGGTCCCGGACCTGGCGGCTTGCTTTCTCACTTTCTTTCTCTCCTTCTCTCTCTCCCTGGTCAAAATTTAAAAAAATAATAAAGTTAAATAAAATAATTCTTTCAAAAATATTCTATTCACTATTTACTAATAATTGGTTTTCTTAAAATGGTAATTTTTATATTAAAAACACATTGTACTGTCACATCAGCTAACATAGAACAACTTCTGAGAATTGGAGAAAATATGCTTGAAAATACACATACAGAGCATAGTAAATTAGACAAGTGGATTATTCGCATCTGTTACAGAGCATGCAATCTCTGTCTTTAAGCCAGGTATTTAATGGCTGGCTTCTCTTTACATATTGTGAACCCAAGAACTAAATTTCATTTTTAATTGTGTTGCTTTAGTGTCTTTTTGGTCATCATTTTTGGGATAAGAATTTTTTCACCTCATAACAGCCTCTGCTTTCTAGAAGAAGTCATGACTCAAAAGAGAAAATCTAATGTGAAGCAACTCTGCTTCACATTAAGAAACTCTACCTAGGGAACCAGCAGTTAATGTAATGGCTATGTCGCTGGACTCCCACGTAGTCGACTGCGGTTCACATCCTGGACCCGGTGGCTTAAAAAACTCACACCGGGCGCGTGTGCGTGCGTACCCAAGATCCTGAGAGGAGAATGGAGGAGAAGGGACTGAGGCGTGACCATCTCCCCTGGGGGGTGTTTTCTCGATTTCTGTCTCTGTCTGGCGAGCGCACACACCCTATAGTGAAAACCTCTCAAAAAAGAAAAAAAAGAAACTCTACCTATAGTTTGCAAGGCAGATGATGAATGAGATATCTCTCAACTTATGCAAGGACTACCAATCCTGGGGACACATTGGATAAATGAATTAGACATCAAGAGTTCCATACCTCTTTAAGTGCCTAAGAAACAAGAACATTAAAGAAAGAAAAGTGCACAAGAGGAAAGTTCAGAAGTTCAGTTAAATATATGTAGCCTTTTCTGTTTGTTTTCTTTTTTCCACTATGTTCCTGATGTTTCTGTGGATTTACTCGGTAGATCTTCTTGTTGGGACCAATATGTCTGGGACCAGATGATCTGACTTGGCCTCACTTATCTAGCGTTTGGTTTGATGTCAGTTAGATTGACAGCCGTGGGAATCCATCCCAGTTTCAGTTAGGTAGCACCAGAAATGTTTCTAGCAACCTGAGCTAGGAGACCCAATGTACAAGGATTTTTAAAGACTCTGCTTGTGTCATAGATGCTCGTGACCCATGGGCCAAAGGAAGTCAAGTAACCCAGCACGGACTAAGGACTGTGAAACAGACTCTGCCTCTAAGAGAAGAAAGAGTAAAGTCACATTAGGAGGGGGCACACATCACGAGTATGAAAACATTTTTCCTATCATTGTGCAGTCTACTACGAAGAGTTGCGAGCAATGTTTTACTAGTCGTCAAGACATCATGTCACACTGAATCAGAATTTGTCTTGAAAAAATCCAGAAAATAGTGTGTAGTTAGTCAACTATAATCAATTTTCCCTCATTATTCTGGAAAAGCCTCCTATAATAAGCTTACAATAAGCTTAGTTTTTAAGGTTCTTAAGGCTTAGCTCCTGATCATGGGAAAAATTAAGGGGTATCTTTCCTCTTAGATATTTTTGGCTTTTGAGGATTTACTATTAAAGTAAATCCAGCCTTGGTTAAGGTGGCAGGGTCCCCCACAGCTGATGGTGTTGTTCAAGTCTCAGACCTATTAGCGCAAGAAACACCCTGGGACTCATGTACACGCATGTCCAACATCCCGAAAGAAAGAAGGGATGAAGGGCTGTGTGATTGCTCCCCAGCAAGAGCACATGCTTGCTAGTGGGAAAAATAAAAAGAAAGGAAAAAAAATTAAAGAAAACTGAGTAACTTCTATTGTAATTTTCTTAAAAAGTGGATGTAAACTGAGACCAGCAGATGGTGAAATGATTACATCGCTGGACGCTCACATGGTCGACCACGGTTCAAGTCCCGGACCTGGTGGCTTAAAACTCATGCCAGGAACGTGTACGTGCATACCTAAAATCCTGAGAGGAGAATGGAAGAGAATGGACTGCAGCATGGCTGCCACCCCTGGGAGGGGTGATTTCTCACATTCTATCTCTCTGTCTCTCTGGCGAGAACACCTGCCCTATAACAAAAATTTCTCTCTTTCAAAAAAAAAAGTGAATATCTAAATAATAGTAGATATAAAAAGAGAGATCTAAACTACTGATACAGTATGATTATAGATAAAAGAAAATATAGATATTTTTATAACAATTGATTTGAATTCTTAGACAAACTAACAAATTCCTAAAAACCATTTCTAACCTAAGCTAATTTAAAAAGAAAGACCTGAGAAAAATCCAATATCCATCAACTAAAGAATGTCTAAATCAATCGTGGTATATTCATACAAATAAAAAACACAGTGGAAAAAAAATACTGCTTCAAGTTGCAGCAATGTGGATATATCTCACGAACATGGTGGGGAGCTAAAAAAGGTCAGACACACCAAAAACATGTTGTTTAAGTCCATTTATATGAAGTTCAAACACAAGCAATTTTGTCTTTGGTGACAGAAATAAGAATAATGTCCTCTCTTTAAGACAGAGGATCAAGCCGGAATGGGTTTAAGGCAGTGTGTGGAAGTGCTGGGAATATTCTGTATCTTGATGTGGGTGGTGGTTACACAGGTGGGTACAATGAAAAAAAATCATCGTACTATAAGATTTGTGCAGTTATGCAAATTATAGTTCAAAAATTTTTAAGTAAACTTTTCTAAAAGAGGAAATGTTAAACATGAATAGTTCTATTCATTTAATAATGTCCCATGAGGAAAACAATGGATCCAGATGGGAGTTTACATTAGTTATACCATACATCCTGACAAAATATAATTTCAGGTTTCATACTCTTATAAGTGAAATAAGAGAATATTTCCACATTTTAATGAGGGTAGTATAACTTGATATTTTTACAAAAAGAGAATATTTTAAAAAAAGGATAATCAAGC